GTGTCACTGATCTGATCTGGGAGCAGCAGGACCTCCGTGCACAAAGAAGCTGCACAATTGTCATTGAACAATTCATTCTTTGTGTGGCGTCACTGTCGAGCTGGAGAGGCGCAAAGAGCTCATCACTCCTCCTGTTGTTACGTCTCGAGAAGGTATTTGACACTGACACGAATGGAACTGCTACGCTAAGTTAAACACTTGAGGGATCTTGGGCACATTCTTTCAATTATTAATTTCCAACCTGCATGGAATGAATAGTGGTCGAATTTGTGGGATATTAAAACCATTTTCTATGAGTAAGAGCGTACCTCAAACGACTTTGGATGTGAGAGGGGCGTTGTCCTTGCTTTTAGTTAAAAGAGAAGTCAAGTTAAACATTTTCTTTACAATAATATGTTCTATGCGGCCCCATGAGTGAAAACACCAATTATATTTAATTCTGATTTGTACTGCTTTTGTAAAATATGAAATAAGCAACAAAATCCACCGAATTTTGGGCATCTCAGGGGGCGGCCATTTTGCCACTTGCTGTTGACTGAAAATGACGTCCGTTGCCTTTTTTTGTAAGCTTGCAAATGTCACATGAGCAAACTCGAAAAAGAGGTGAGCCGTGATTGCACAATTGTCATTGAACAATTCATTCTTTGTGTGGCGTCACTGTCGAGCTGGAGAGGCGCAAAGAGCTCATCACTCCTCCCGTTGTTACGTCTCGAAAAGGTATTTGACACTGACACGAATGGAAACGCTACATTAAGTGAAACACTTGAGGGATCTTGGGCACATTCTTTCAATGATTAATTTCCAACCTGCATGGAATGAATAGTGGTTGAATTTGTGGGATATTAAAACCATTTTCTATGAGTAAGATAGAGCGTACCTCAAACGACTTTGGATGTGAGTGGGGCGTTATCCTTGCTTTTAGTTAAAAGAGAAGTCAAGTTAAACATTTTCTTTACAATAATATGTTCTATGCGGCCTATGTTTTTTACATTACGCACAACTCTAATATTTTGTGCAATAATCTAATATGTTCCATAATTTGGCGCATTTTTATGCTTTATAAAACATTTATGTTTGAAAGGGGGCGGCCATTTTGCCACTTGCTGTTGACTGAAAATGACGTCCGTTGCCTTTTTTTGTAAGCTTGCAAATGTCACATGAGCAAACTCGAAAAAGAGGTGAGCCGTGATTGGTTGCTAATTCATATGCACATTTCAGACTGTAGTAGTTTAAAAACGTGAGCTTAGACCCTTTTCAAATGTAAAATAGTTAGAAAATACTAATGTTAACATGAGCAAATTAGAAGCCGCGTATAATTCATACACGATAGTGTCATGGTTCGTGAATGCCAAAATGTTACACGTCGTGCGGGGTAAGAGCAAACCCTGTTAAGTGCACTTTGGTGGTAAATCATAAAAATGATTGATAAGATGCAGTGCAATCCACAAATATGTTTCAACAGCAAATGATTTAAAATCGTGGCAATTTGAGTTCCTTTTTTGAAGAAAAAAAAAATGTGCTTCTGCTCAGAACGCAGGATGTGGATGCATTTCACCACGTGCAACGTTAGCAATGAAAACATGAAGCCATGAGGCGCATGTGTTGAAATTCCCTGACAATTTAGATTGTGTTCTGCTTTCTACTTTTCACAAGCTTCACCCCCACTACCCTCTCAAAAAAAAAAAAAATGCTATCCAAAACAAACACATAATACCACAGGAAAAATTCATGCTCCGCCCACTTTGACTCACGCAATGTTTGCTTCCGTAAAGAGAATCTGGCCCAGTGAATTGATCGTTCTGGTGATGTCACGGGGAAGAGGACCAAGGTCAGTCAGACAACGGCCAGCCAAAAGAGACACACACACACAGAGACACAGAAACACACACACACACACAGGCACCCGCCAGATGTGTGTGACATATCTGTGCTGAGCTGCACTGACTCATGAAGGTCTTGTGCAATCACGTTGGAAATGGCTGGAATGTTTCTCGGTTCAGTTTCAGAGAAACAGACGTGTCCTCAAATCCGTGCGGCGGTTTTCCCGGAATCGCCGGACATATTGTGTGTCCCCTTCCAAATGAAATTCAGCAAATTTATGAGTGCCTCACCTGAGTTGCGAGAAGGCGGCGGGGCCATTGAGGTGGTGTAGCCCCCGTTGGAGTGGTTGTCTTCCCCGAAGTCAAACAAAGGTTTGGGCTTGGGCGTGTATTCGCGTCTTGGCCGGGACTGGGCCTCAGTCATCCTGTTCAAAAACACATGCAAGTCAATCACATGACCGCTATAGCTCCTTTTGAAGTGATCCTGTGATTCTACAATTATATCAATTCGTCCGAGTTGTGCCTTCATCGCAGTACCATGCGATGCTACAACATGCCGGACGGCGCTGAGTTCTACTAGAAAAGAGCGCAAGAAAAGAAGAAGAGGCAGAGAAGGTCCCCCCCACAAGGCTCAAGTCATTGTCGTTCCCACAGATGGAATATATGCCTGTAGGTTTTTTTTTTTTTTTGTCTGGTCTGTTTGAATGTCTTGCTGCTCCGCGTCC